CGGTGGCAGATGGGACGGACGGTCCTGCCACGTGCGTAAAAACACGCAGAACCCCCCTGGGGTGAACACGTGGCTGTTCCTTGAGGTGAAGGCTGGCTGTGCCCACCCTTCCTTCTCATGCCCGGAAAAGCAAACAGCAGAAAGGTGGGCAGGGACCCCAGGAGGCCCTGTGATTCGGGAGCGGGGGGGCTGCCTTTCTGCGGTGCTGCCAGAGCATCTTGTCCACTAAGGGAGATGTCACGTCCTGGCAGTGCAAATGGAAAAGGAATGGGAGGAAGGGGAGAAATTTGCTTCTGCCTCGGAGGACTCTTCTGTTCCTGCGTTCTCCTCCTTTACAGCAATGCCATTACCTCTCCTTTTTGAACCTGTGCGTTTAAGAGAAAACAGAGCCAGAAGGAGCAGCGGTGCCTGGGGTACTAGGGGAGCAGCCAGGATGTGTCCTGAGGTGGAGGGTGATGCCAGGCTTCCCCACTGGCACTATGCCCAGCACTCTTGCAGAGGCCTCATCCAGCGCGATAGCGTTGGCTCAGGTTGAGGGAGGATCCCAGGTGTCCCCAAGGCCACGCAGCCGTCACTTCTCGGTCCTGCCTGTCCCTGGCGAGTGGCTCATGCTCCAGTGGGGCCACAGCAGCGCTGGCACCCTGGGGGGGACGGTGCAGAGAGGCAGGCTCAGCCTGAAAAACAACCCACCTCACTCTCTCCCTTCCCACATCCTGAGCAGCAACTTTTAAAACAGCGATCTGTGTTCTTTGAGGACACGCAGGGGGAAGGGGAGAGGAGGTTTGCAAAACTATCAAGGCTTGGATTGGTTTTTAACCGTCTAAGAGCGACTCCGCGCTTCTCCACCCACACACCTTTGCATTGAAATAAGTGAGGGGGCAGCTCGTCCTCTGTTGCTTGTGTTACACCCTGGGTTTGGTTTTTTTAAGGGCGTACATTGTACGAGAAAGGAGTCCGGCCCTGAAATAACTCAGATTCCTGCTTTGCAATGTCAGGCACTTATTTAAGACCCTGGCCTCATCCTTAATTTCCCTTCTCTCCCTCTCCTTGGAGCAGCATCCAGGGTGTGGAGGGCTCAGCTTTGCCGCTGGAGCATCCGCCGGTTGGTGAGCAGTGTTTTTGCTGCAGAGGACCTTGCTCGTGTCGGTGCTGGCGCGGTGCTTGTCCCTGCTCGAGCCGTGCCACGTCTGTGCTCCGGGAAAGCCTCTTGCTGGAGCTGGCCGGAGCTGAGCTGGAGGCAGCGGGCACCCACGCGCAGCCAGGGGAGCTGGGCCATGGTGCAGGGTCTGTGCTGCAGCCGTGGCGGTTTAGTGAACTCGGGCTTTTTGCATAAAAGCTGCTGGAAGGTGCGGAGCGTCCCAGCGGATCTGGAGCACTTGCTGGAGGACGCGGTGTGGCACCGGGAGGTCGCTCAGCCCATGGATGGCTCTCGGCGGAGGCTCCTTATTTGCCTCCTGGAGGGGAGGCGGAGGTGGGGATTTGCTTTTGCTGCTTGGCCTGAGTTTGACTTGGATTTTGACAGCTCCCTGGTGCTGGTTTTTCTTGGGTCCTCTTTCTGCGAAGAAATGCAGTAGGGCTGGGGGGACCTTGCCGGTGTGGGGGGTGCTGGGTTTCTGTAGGTGGTGGCAGATCAAGTACACAAGTTGCAGCGAGTACAAAACAGCCCCGCTTGTACCCGCGGCTCTCAGACAGAGAGATGCTTCTCTGGATCCGATATAATGGAGTAATTCAG